TCCTCTCCTCTCCCCTATCCCCGGTTTCCTTAACAATGTGATACCTGTTTCTTCTGTGGTGAGCAGTTTACGAAACGCTGAACACTTCAGAACTTATCGTTTATTTTATTTTATTTTATTTTTTTTGTTTCTTATATTGTTATTGCTGCTACTGTTGTTTTTTTTTTCATGTTGCTTAGTTTTTCTTGCCTTTTACTTGTTCTCATGCTCTGTATTTGATCGTAATTTTTACTGGCCGAATTGCTACTTTTGTCGTTGTAATTGTTGTCGCTGTTGCTATTGCTAATAATGCTTTTGCTGCTGCCGCTGCTGATACTACTACTACTGCTACTATTACTATTACTATTATTGCTGATGCTGGGGAAATATTACTCCTTAAAACTGCAGAAACTAAAATTATCATCTACCTGCTTTTTTATATATGTGCGTATACGTGCGTTCATTATCATGAACATCAACTATCTTACTGATAGGCTGGCAAAACAATTATTTTTGTTTTATTTTGTTTTACTTTTCTCACCTGTACACCACTACACCACGTACAGGTAGACAGGCATACCAGCGGGATTTCAGGTTCAACCGTTTTTGTTTTGTTTGCGAATTAGGAAAAAAAAAAAGAAACAAAATAATTTTGTTTTATTTTTCTGTCTTTCTCCTAAGACTTTTCCAGTTTTTCCGGTCTTTTTTTTTTATTTAGTATAGATTTCTGAATTTTGATAGTTGATTGCATTGTTTTGGTGAAAAGAGGAGAGAGGGGGGGAAGGGAGGAGGGAGTAATTTGTACATTTTAAAACGATGACGATAACTGTGTTTAACTGTTTTGCAAATCAATATGAGGTCTCCCTAGGGGAGAAGAAGGGGGTTGTCTAATTTTTCGATATTTTAAGTGTGTTTTTCTTCACTGCCCACTTTCAATTTTTGCTCGTAGTTCTACTTCTACACTTAATAGCAGTTTTTTACCGCTGTTTAAGGTGTTGATCATAAATATCTTTTTAAGTATAATGTTAAATAAAGTTTTTGTCAGGAAAATCATGTAAACTTTAAACGTTTGCAAGTGCAATTACTGCTGTTGCCATTTTTCTTCAGAATGTTTCAGCTTCCTAACGTTGTTTTATTCAGTTGAATGGGTTTTTTATCTCTTTTATTTATTTATTTTTTTTTATGCTTGATCTGACCACCTTTGTTTTTAATTAAAAAACGTTATGTTAGGTAATGATGAGTTTTTCGTAATAAATTAGAAAACACTAAATTTTGCTGAAAATTGCAAAAGTTTTTTTTTTTTTCTTGTTGCAGTAAACATTTTTGAGGTTATGTTTGAAAAAAAAATTAAGTGGAGAGGAAGGAGAAGAAAAAAATTTCTCGCTGCCCGTACCAAGTCAACGTTTTTTGTCAGAATGGTTTTCTTCCGATCCATTTTTGTGCTACGGCCAAAAACGCTCTTGAATAATAACAGCAGCACATCAACTGGCTCAGCCGCTGGTTTTGTTTTTCTGTTTGGTTTTAACCCTTTTTTTTTTCTTTTTTCTTTTTTTTTTTTCATGTGCTCCAATGTTGTAAGCTGCAGTTGTTGTCGTTTGTTGTATTTTGCAACAACATGTCATGGCTTTCTTGTGTCGGTTTTTGACGAAAAGGTAATTCAAATTATAATAAGAGAAGAAAAGATTAAGAATAAAGGAAGAAGCCATAACTTAAGACTGTTGTAAGTCTTAATTCAAATTTTCTTCGTTAGACAAATTGTGAAGTGTGTATATTTGGTTTTGTATTGTGAATCTGTGCTAGTGCAGCAATGCACTTTAGTGAAAAGTGCTATAGTTTGGTTCGGACTACGTGATGTGCAAAGTTATGAAGACGCTCAGAGAAGAAGGCGAAGCATAAGGAGGAGACATTTCATATTGTTGG